GGAGGCTTCCAGCAGCGCGAATATTTTGCTGTCTTGGTGCATGCAATCAGCAGCAGCTTTTTTATTTCTTCTGCTGCTCCATACATTTAGGATTGCTGCTGCTGCTGCTGCTGTCGGCTGCAGCAGCAAACGAGAAGCCCCCATATACCCCAATAAATTCGCCAGCAGGTAAGCCACCTCGGGGCCATACTCCTGCAGCAGCAGCAGCAGCAGCAGCAGCAGCAGCAGCAGCAGCAGCAGCAGCAGCAGCAGCAGCAGCAGCACAAGAGCAGCAGAAGCAGCAGCAGCAGCAGCAGCAGGGGTAGAAGCAGAAGCAACACGATATGAGGCAGAAATAGCAGCAAGAACAGTATAAATATACAGCAGCAGAAGCAGCAGCAGCAGCAACAGCAGCAGCAGCAGCAGCAACAGCAGCAGCAGCAACAGCAGCAGCAGCAGCAGATACATCACCACAATCACTAGTATCAAACCCAGCACCGCAGCAGCAGAAACCCAGCAGCAGCAGCAGCAGCAATCCAGCAGCAGCAGCAGCAGCAGCAGCAACTCATCATAACCATCATCAGCACCACCATAATCCTCAGCAACAAAAACAACAACAGCAAAAAAAACAAAAACATCAGCAGCAGCAACAGCAGCAGCACCACCACCACCAGCAGCAACAGCAGCAGCAGCAGCAGCAGCAGCAGCAGCAGCAGCAGCAGCAGCAGTATTACTAGGAAATGTTGTCTATCATCATCGTTGCTGCTGTCTGCCAGCCCCAACATAAATTCTTTAAGAAAGTGAATTGCATGCAGAGCAGCAACTTTGGCCATCGACTGCAGCAGCTCCCGTGCTGCTTCGCCAGGCAGGTCACACAGCAGCACGTACACTGCTGGTGCTGCTGCTGCTGCTCCTGCTCCTGCTGCTCCTGCTGCTGCTGCTGGTGCTGGTGCTGCTGCTGCTGCTGCTGCTGATGATGGTGGTGGTGGTGGTGATGAGGGAGACTCTCCCCAGGGTTTTGCTGCTGCTGCTGTTGCTGCTGCTGCTGCTGTTGCTGCTGCTGTTGCTGCTGTTGCTGTTGCTGCTGCTGGACTTTGTGTGTCTGCTGCAGGAGTGGCTTGTTGTGTGTATCCGGTTTTAAGTTTTCTATTTTTTTTTTGCATTTGCTGCTGCTGCTGCTGCAGTTGCTGCTGCTGCTGCTGCTGCTGCTGCTGCATGTGCTGCTGCTGCATGCGTGTGCTTTTAGCGTATATTTGTTGTATTTTTTTTGTTTTCCATTTATAAAAATTAACGCGAGAAGGAAAGAAACGCTGCAGCTCATCAACAGAATAAAAAACAGCAACCAAACCCCCCTCAGCAGCAAGAAGAGAGAAATCTATCTTTCTTTGTCTCCATGCTGGGTGATCTGCTGCTGCTGCTGCTGCTGC